CTAGATCAAATCACACCTTCAAAGCATCTTCAAAAACAGCTGTGTTATCGGAGTTCGAGTCGGCAACGTAACGGGCAGCAGCGGAAACAGCTCGCGATAACGCGGCATCCATTATACGCCGCCACTCGCTGGCTGAAACAGACACTTTTTTCAGAGGATTCAAAGTACATGCAAAGTGAAATGAGAACAACACTCGAAACATCATGTAACAAGTGAAGTGGACGACGAACGAACGCAACACGACGAAGTGCGGAATGTTGAGCTCTCACAAAGACAAACAATCGACGATTCAATGTGACGCATCGTCGCATTTGCATTTCTTCTTGCGCTACATGAGCAATGAGAAAAACGTAACAAATAAGATGTAAGATGAATGAGAAGTGCATTTGTGAATTCCCTCAAAAAGAATAAAATTGTATTGCTGACAACCTGTTCTACGATACTAGGAGAGTGAAAAGAGTAGCTCAGGCGGCAATGAGATGAAGACGCTGGGAGGAAAAAAGGCGCTGTGTTGGTTGAAGGTCACTCGGCTGTTTCAAAGCACACCTCTACCAAGGCAAGAAACAACAATATGCTTCAAAAAACCTATAATGTCTTTCTGAATTGAGATAAAATTCATGAAACAATAGAAGAATGCAATAAGTATTATCATTCTTTTGAGCCAACCCCACGTTTATTTTATCAATCGAACTCATCAAACATAATAGCGCCATTCGCTGGTGGCAGTGATACATTTCGAGCAAATAGCCATGCTCTCTGTAGCTCATAAAAATTAGTGTGCAGGAAAACATATGAGATCCAAAAAATGGTATTATATGTATCATAGAACAAGAAAATTGATAAAAGCCTTAGCAAAGTTAGTGCATTTTCTTCATAGCTTTGTAGTTTGGCCCATTTCTCGCCCCCTTTCCCAGCTAAGATTCACTGATGTTCCAACTTTACATTCCCTTTAATCTTTCCGAGGTAAGATAATGTTCGATGTTTATGGATGTTTAGACGTACGCAA